TTAGCCTGCGCAGTATTGCGTGCCGCAGTCGTGAGCTTCCGAAGCTCCTGTAAGTGGAACAGCTGCAAGCTGCTTATCAACAAAGGTTTGCGGGTTGCATGTAAGGCAGGGGTAATATTGAGATTGTCAATTTTCAAGTACTGTCCAGTCGACAAGAACATTTTATTTGGGAAAATGTCATACAAATTCTTTGCGTATGGTCTATGTTCTAAGATACTAATTGAAACCTCTAATTTTTGACTCAGGACTCTCGTCTTAGCTAAATCCGAGAACATAAAAACCAATATTTTTGTGACTTTTCCCATGTGATTCTTAATAACCTTTTAATATTCATCAATTTAAACTGATTTTAAATATGTTAAAATGTACTACAATTTGTGTATGATACGGTTTTTGTGAACAAATCACCGAACGGGGAACCGCCCTAAAAACAATTTTTCTTTCCTAAATGATAATTCCAATTTAATTTTAATCCAAATTTTGTACACTTATTTCAATAACGGAGAAAATAATTTTTGGGGGGAAATCGCCCCTGGTGATCCCAGAGGATGGGGAGGGTGTCGCGTTTACAAACAAAAGTATACAACCTCCTGTGTACATAATACACACGTATTTGGGGTACGAACGGAGGGGGCGAAACGGAAGATAAATACCCGGGTAAAGCCGCGCATTCATGTAGATACTCGATAATGAAAAATAAATTGTGAATTCATACTTTGCTTATTCAGTGCATTTTGTTGACAAAATGACAGACACAATTTTATTTCGATCTGTACAGTTTAGTAGATTATGTATACTCAAGTGTTTCTTTAATAATAACAATCAGGCATTAAACCATTTAAACTATTTATAAGTGCAATATAAATCTTTATTACTACGTTTCGAAAATCGATTTATTTCCATCTTCGGACAAAAGACGCTATAGTAAAATTAAAAAGTTATTGTCACATTTGGCCTCACATAGAACCATTAGCAATAAAACAAATACACATTGATTAAATTAATGTGATTAATTTAACAAAATTTAGCACTAAATTTAAGCAATTTTGGTTCAGCAAATATGTCGCTTAATTTTCTGTGTAAGTCATATTATGTTAAATCTGC